TAAAAATATATACCTTGTATATGTATATAAATGTACAAGGCCGTAGACGAGCGATGATAAAAAAGCATCGTTGGCAATATTATTATGATCCGTAATAGCAATAAAAATGTTTGCACAAGACGGTAATTAATATGTATTTACGCATAAAAATACTTCGTTAAATATCGGTAATAAATACAAATTTTTTTCAAGATCAAGATCAATGTTTTCTCAAAGGAAGAAAGTTGTCAAAATATAATACAATATCGTTTACTGAATGAATTAATGTAGAAACTTGATCAAAAAATTAATTGGAAAAAATAAATCTTTGAAGAATTAATATTTTAATACACTCTTAATACTTTTTATAATTTTAATATTTACGTGTAATTAAAAAAAAATTGAGTTTAATATTTGCAATTAACTTCAACTAATTTGAATTATGTACAACACGTATAGAACGTATAATATGTTAGAAATTAAATGATTGAAATTCGTGTAATCGAAATGCCGAGCATGTATCACGTGAGTTTTTTTTAATTACGATCGTTAAGTGTTTTGTCCAAAGAAATGTAGGTAAGATTAATGATTCTCGAAGAATAAAAGGGATTGCTTTCTTTCTTTCTCTGATCAAACACGCGGGACAATTAATAACGCACCAATTGACTTAATGATTCTTAATAACAGCATGAAAAAACTGCGAATGCCAAATTTGACAATCACATCAGTCTTTTTACAATCAGTTAATTAATAAATGGTTATATAAAATAAGTATATTTATTTTTTAATAATAAAAAGATCAATTGCCTGATATAGAAATATTCTGACATATGAGTAAGATATATTTTTACAATTTCATATACAAAACTCTAACCTCTGCGTCGAGAATTGTCCTGTAGAAGCTTCGAAACACTTTTCACTCGCGTCACTTTTTTCGTTCACGACGCGCGACGCATTTCGATAAAATGCGAGAAACGCGAGAATTTATTCGCGCGCGAATAAAACTTAACTTATAACCGATGCTCCGTTTTCGCGGCGCCGCTTTTTTCAAGGCCCACTTACATATATCGAAGGGCCTTATCAACACCGGCGATGGCGACTTTCCCCGCGCTGCACTTCAGGAGTCGTCGATATTTAATGACAGAAATATGGCGGCGCGATGTGAAATTACGACCGGAAACGCGCAATTGCCCGCTTATCGTCGAAAAACTCGGAAAATTTTCGCGTCGAAGGCGCCCGGTGATTCTCGCGATCCGCTCTCATAAATTCGTGCACGCGAACTTTTGGCGGCTCGAGTCGGAGCTGTGCTACACGATCTTTCGGAGGAACGAAAGTTACGGGATATTCGCGGCCGACGAGGTCAATCTCGCGCGTGCGATCGCGATCGGATTTATACGATTATTAACGACGTAAAGACGCTTATTAATATTCACACTGGTATACTTTCGCGGACCGAACCGGGAACCGGCGATGAGCGCGCGAACGTTTCATCACGAACAATATGAAAGTGCACCAGAGGGCAGCAAGTATTTTCGATTGTGTTCAAAAATATGTTCACTCAGAGTGAGGCGCTCGATTGGCCAATCAGGACCAAGAGATCCTCGATCTTCGATTGGTCGATCAAATTTTGCACTTTGGTAAATATATTTTCGAACACAATTCTGATGTTTCTTTCATAATGTATGGCGCCATTTACGAATACGCAAAATCTCTTCTTCCGAGCTGTATTTTCTACCTTTTGAGCACAGTCTCGTCTTCCTCCCTTTTCTTACACGTTCTCTTACGTTTTAATTTTGCAAGTGTGACATAACGCAGCGCGCGAAAAAAAACGCGCTCGCGTGAAGGCATCGCTATAGGTATTGTTTTCGGAGTAATATTAAAGAAGAGCTCTCCATCCTCTACTCTCTGATGTAAAGTTTCAGCAAAATCAGAGAGCACGGAATGAACATACATACATAATATATCGAAAGTCATTCAACGATCGCTATAAAAACATTGCAATATCCAAGTAGGACTCACCTGATCCAGGCGCGACGCCGTGCTTGCGATGCGTGATTTTCTTTGGCGTTGATACGTGCAGTATCCCACGATTCTTGATGGACAAAAGTACACTTTTACGGATATGTTTAAAAAGAAATAATTCGCGCACTCGATATGTAAAGGAAATCGGGACGGATTCACACGCCGCGCCGCGACATACCAATAACGACGAGCGGCAAACGTTGACTGCGCCTAACCCGGCTGCTTGTGTCGCCCGTGGCCCGTCACGCGCCGGAGCCGGACAGGTGGGGTATGAGTGGAGGGGGAACGCGCGCATGCGTAATCGCGATTGCCCGCGACTTTTCGGAAGCTTTAATTATGCGCACGATGCCTGTATATTGAGAATTTTAAGAAAATCAAAGACATAGAATTATTTTACATTTTTTTTTATATATTCATTGTCAGAATGACTAGAAAAATCAATGAATGTTAACATATTCATGTTTTTGTTTCAAATATTCTACCGATGATCTTTTATGTTAATCTTCGTGAAAACCATATTTTAATTACTTATTTAATTTTAAACTTTATCCTGTATATTTGAACGTAATATCATATTAAGAATTAATTTTAATTACGTATCTTTATATATAATATGTCTATTATTACGAATTATTAATATAATAATATGATTATCATGTTGATTTTAATGATCAATATATTCATATTTTAACACTATATGCCATTATAATTTTGAATATTATTATTATGACAGTAAAATGCTTTGTTCGATTATAATTAATAAAATTAATTGGGCAATAATATTAGTGTTATATATTGATAATAAGAAAAAAATAATTATTGTCAGTATTGTTAATTTGGCTAGTACATCATTAATCATACTAATCGAATTTAGATTATAAAAATATATGCATGTTGTTTCAATGCGTGTTTTAAACTCTTTGATTATTCAATATGTATGCATAATTGACAATAATATATTAATCAAATAAAACAGTAACAATTTTAAAAGTTTAATTATTATTATCTGTATCTAACTTATATATGTATATATATATATTGTTATATGAGAGTATTTGGAATGTGGGAAAGCTTGTGCAATAGAATAGATATAGATCAATGTGGAAATGATGAAAAGAATGATTGGAAGAATAATGTAAATAGAGATTCGCACACACATACAAGATGCAATAAATGTGAAACTCTATAATTATATTTTTCAATATAATATGTAATAAGCTTTGTGTGGCAGTACATTAAATACATTGCAAATGCATTTATGATAATGTATGTGTATGTGTGTGTTAATTAATAATCTCGAATAACTAAAATATTAATAAAGTAGAAATTCTCTTTGATGCCCTGAAGCATCATATGCGAATTGATACAATCGATTGCACAATATATATGTTGTAATATATTCGCTTGTATATTAGCTAATGTATACTAGAAATACGGAAAATTCTCGTAATTTCGTCTCGATAAATCTGACAAATTAAAGTTTCATATAATTCAAAAATTTAATTCTATTGAACATTTTAATGCCAACTGAAATTTTAAACATATTAAAGAGAAAGTATAATGTTCACATAAAAATAATATATATATATATATATATTTCGCAAAAAAGTATTAAATATGTATATTTCGCTAAATTCCGATTAATTGGATAATTAAAATTAATCGGCAGTCTCATATACTGAAACATATTTCATGAAAAATGTAGTTATCAAAATTTTATTCATCATATTTATACAGAGTGCGTATTTTAAAAAAAGAAACCCAAAATTAATATTGCAATCCTCCTAACATAAGGTGTTGTATTTTTTTTCTTAATTTGTGTTCCTGTAAAGTAAAGATAGTACACTGATTCACAAAGAGTCATGTGATATTAATACGAGACTTTTGTGCGAATACCATATTTATATTTATTAATATATATGTAATAATAATAATAAAATATAAATAGCTAGAGTCACAATATGTATGCATCTTCATATTTGGCGTGAATCACGTTTAAAACTACCGTAAATTGTGCACAATGTGCTCATTACGATATTAAGGACAAAACAATGAAATATGAACAAAAAAACAAAAAAATACTTATTATCAATTATGAAGAAATTTGCAAATATAAATTCTAGATTCTAGAAGACGGAATTCCGCGAGTAAACAAATGACGAGCAAACAAATCACAGTAACGACATTATTTCTATTATTTTACGAGTAACCAAGTCTTATACATGTCAACACAATTATATACACAATTTATCGAGACACAAATATCACACGAGCGCGTTACAAAAATTGTAATCGGAGAATCACTGCAGCAAAGTAAAACCATAGATTAACAATTGAGTGACAAAGGGCGCGATGTTACAATAATACCTGATTTTCTTAATTAAAATTAAATTGAGTCAAGAAAGATTTTGCCAAAATCTTTATTTAGAGAAATTTTATAGAATCTTTATTCCAAGAATTTACTTTTTAATATTGCTAAAAAATCTTTTTTACCTTTTTATTAGAATTATTTTTTTTAAATTTCCAAAAATTCCAAAAATTTTATTTTGTATCTTGTTTGATTTTAATATAATTTAATTTTAAAATATATGCACTTGTAACTATTTAAATTTAAAATTAGAATATATTAATATGTTTCATGAGTTATACAAAATATAAAAATAAAAATAATTGTGTGCAATAACTTATGAAATCGATATGTTATAAGCATAAAATTCTTAATTATTTTATTAAAAAACATATACGTTTCGTTAATTTAGTAAACTTAATTTCAAATTAACTAAAGTATGTTTTCCACTAACTTAATAAAAATGACTCTGTTAATTTTTATCTTCACTTTATGTATAACATCTATAAAAATAATTTGAATAATAGTATCTTTCTTCCCTTCCTTTCTTGCAATGCATACACTTGTTTATCAATTTATTTAGTGTCATTTTATTAGTAGAATATAATTTCGCTGTTCTTTTTTACAAAAATAATTCTCTTTTCACTCTTTCTTAAGCACAAGTTTAATATGCATTACATTTGCGCAGTATTTCCAGTTTAATATGCATTACATTTACACAGTATTTCAAAATCACCTAATTCATCGCCCTTTGTCTTTCATTGTGAAAATTCTTGCGTTATTATTAATACCAATCGCGTCTCTTTTAAAGTTGAAAACTTTAGCATTTCTAAATTTTTTAAAAATCCTTAGCATCTTTTCTTAACTTTTTCGATCTTATATTTTACCTATCAAGAGATTATTCGATATATCTTTTAGTCTAAACTCGCATTCCTACTCAAGATGAATTTAATTTAAAACGAAATATGCAATCAGTAATATAAACAATCACACTAGAGACTGTCATAAAATTAATTTTTACACGAAAAGAGTCTCTTAAAATTTCTTTCGCGTCACAAAAGCGGGAGGGTTGATAGAATATTCTATTCATATGCGTTTTACTTACAGCTAGACGTATGCAAATATCCGATACAAAATAATCTACTTAAATGCATTTGGCATGTTTTGTTCTTAATTCGAAGCTCGCCCGTTTCAATCTCTATCATCATCGTTACTCTCACTATCCAGACCCATTACTATTTTAATAATATTTTATTACAATCACCTTCCAATCCCGGATAATTTAAGACTAATTGTACGAACATTATAATTAGCATTAAAATTAATATTAATTATATTATATTTTTATTCTTATATTCTATAATTAAGGATATTTCTAAAAAGGGACGTATTGCAACCGGGAATAATTGTTAGCAACTCCAGATTAATCCCGAAAGTTAACACTGATAAGTGTAATTTTTGCGTGTAGTATATCTAGTCTGGTCTAATTATTTGTTATTAAAAATCTCGCACTTTGCCATTATAAGTATATCTGTCTTTGGTCTCTTTTAGCTATTCAGTTTTCAACAGCAACATTTCTATGGAATTCTATGAAAATATATGTGCATTTGAAACGTTTTGCATCAACTCAAATTATTCCATATTGCATATATTATCTATGAATCTTAAAGATCCTTTTTTACACGTCAATAAAAATATAATTATATTTTTTTTAGACATTGTTGATATTTATCTAATATTTTAAAGGATTAAATAAAGATTATTAATATTAGCTATTGTTCCATAATTTCAGGATTTTCAGCAATTCAATCGAATTGAAAATAATGCAAAACTTTTTAACGCGCATATACATATTAGAAAGATAATTATCGATTTAGATGAGACTTGCCTTTCCGGTCGCCTTGCGCCGGAGAGTATTGGCCAGTTTAACAGTTTCAATTTCTTTAACCAACATTGCCGTTGCAATTAGTGCTTCATTTTTAAAGCGCTTGTATTGAACTTTGGATTCTGTCACGCATCAGCGATTAAACGTTCGCATATTTTCGGTACGAATCACCTGAATCCTTCACCATCACTCGTCATCACTTTGTCCTGTTTGTATTCACTAAAGCACTCGGTCTCACGTGAACATTCTGCCTGTTGGATTTGCTTCTGCTGGCGACCGTCGAAGCGTCAATCACCGATCTTCGACTCTTATCTAATCTCTCCTTCTCCGCTTCTTCTCCATCCCTCCTCTTATTCTCAGACTTCTGGGCGCGACTCACCGACGACTTGCACGCGATCCTCCCAGTTTTTGCCTCGCCCTCGTACGTCTTTCTCGATGGCTGTGGAGTGTAAATAAGCTAAACCGCTTGGTCCGCGTCGTCGGCTTCTGCCTCACTTCATCGCGCAATTCATCCGTCGAGCTAAACTTTCGCGTCGAAACTTTGTCGCGCACCTCTTCGGGCGATCTTTTTGTCGTGCACGATGAGTAACAGCTATACCTTTTGCTTCTAACATTTCTGGAATCTATCGGGTTTTTTCTATTAATATATCTTTCATGTCGCAGTTTTACCGCTTCGTTCTTCACGTGTTTCTCTGTTTCTTGAATACTTAAACTATTGCAGCCCTTTTCGTCAGGCTGAATGTTTAGCTTAGGCGACCTCAATGTAGTCAGCGCAGTTGAATTTTGCATTTGGGTCTGTAGTATCTTCGTGGTCGACTTATTCTGATCCTGATTAACTGTGAGTTTCGAAGAAATTTTCAAGTAACGATTTACAATACAATTATTTGGGCGCACGTATTGGAAGCTCACATTTTCGAAGCTGTCAGTCGACTCCATGCTTTGCGTCGAGCTTGATTTTTGTCCGTGTGTCAAACGCGCAAATTGAATGTTTACGAAACTGTCGGAAGTCTCGATATCGTTGCCGGTCGAACTGTCACCGGTTAAGCTGTCGTTCGATGTTGACACGGTCGCGTTACTGTTGCGGAAATCATCATTGTTGAATCTGCTCTCATTATCGTCGCGAGTTATATCGTACAAGTTTTTTCGATTGCATTTATTTTGCCGATTCGCGACAGCAAATTTATTCGACTTGGGTGTCTCGCAATTCAAGTCTAGGTGCTTTGCTTCCTTCGATGAGTCTTTATTTTTTTCTTCTTTGCCTCGATGGTTAATGGGAGTCTTTACGTTGACTTCATCGCAATGAGTCGATGAACTGCTGCGATAATTATACGTCTTTAAATTTTCCGGAATGCTGTTGAGCGATGAAGTAGCGCTTTGCGACTTGAGACGACATCGCGACCTTCTGTTGTCGTTCAAATTATCTATCAAATCGTGCATCGATTGACTTAAACTGTGGATATTTTTCAGACAGTCAAAACTAAGAAACACTGGCTCATTTTCGTTGTGATTGCCATTAGCGAAATCGATCTCGTCACAATCTTGTTTATCTTGCTTTCTCTGGTTGGCGATAAGCTCTAGTCTGTCGCGATGATCCGACACTCTGTTCTTCCACTCAACTCTTGTTTTGACGTGCTCGTTTTCCTGTCGTTGACTGCGCTGCTTCTTGAAGTCGAACTCAAAGGTAGCCAATCTTATCGGCTTACACTGCTGATTCCGGTATTGCTCCGTCGATGTGTCGGTGGTTGTTGCTGCTGCGGTCTGCTCGCCTCCTAGAAAGCTCTGCTGATATACAGAGGCGGGGCAAAAGAAAAGAAAAAGCACTGCTACAGATACAACAAACCACTACGGAAGCTTTCTTAGACTTGTAAATAAGATGAAGCTGCGGGAAGTGCGAGGGAAATTGCGACGAATAGATTTTCGCTCACAACAAATTTAAAAAAGAAAAAAGAGAGATATAACATTTTTCTGTTCTAAAAAAAAAAAAAAAAAAAAAGTGTGTGTGTGTGTGACTATGCGTGTGTATATACACACATTTATAGATCATGTCATAAGTATAATATTATCTTTGTATAGTAATCATAAGTAATATATCATCTTTGTATAGTAAAATCATTCATCACTTTCAAAATAACTAAATTTTCCAAACGAGGATTTAATTAAAAAATTGACATATAGATGATATGTTACTATATTGTATAATAAAGTATTATTATTTAATTAAAAATAGAAATTTGTGTATATTTTTATTTTAAAATTATTTTAAAAATATTAAAGATAATACTATTCATGATATATGTAATCAGATGTGCTGTGTGTATCTCATCTTTTCATGTAGCGTGACACAACGGGGAGTTAAAGAAATCGTGCTTAAAATACTAAATGCGATAGCGTGTTTTTTATATACAGGTAAAAATTATTCGATATTAATCTTATTTTCGGTTATTGCAAGAGAATGAGAAAAGGATTTTAAGCCATGCATAGGTACAGGCCAAATTGATTTTTCCAACTCGTAAGATACGATAATAATATTGTATACTAGTGACAGTTACCGCGAGCCACGGATGATCCAACACATCCTCGGCACTGAAGCGAAGTTCTGGCTGTGCTTGCAGCATATTTGAAATTAATTGTTTCGCTGAATCCGACACCGTGTCCCAATACGGTGACGTAAATTCGTACTGGCCGCTCAAAATACGTTCAAACAATTCCTCCTGTTCATTATCTACCGATACGAAAGGTGGAAAGCCACACAGGAGAATATAAAGAATCACTCCAGCCGCCCACACATCAATCTGAAAGCAAGATTTATATTACAAAATGTTTTCAAAAGAAAAAAAATATATAATCTATTATACACTAAATAATATTAGATTGCGTGATCAAAAATATACATTTATTTCTTTTGAAATTGTTTCATGTAAATATTTCTTACATATATACATATGTATGTATATAAAATAAGAATGCGAATTGTGTTGAATTGAATTAATTTAAAAAGCAAGTTAATAATTCTTCATTCTCTCTTGATTAGTTAAAATTAGAATAAATAAATGTACCTTTAAACCATATCCGGTTTCGGCGAGAATTTCCGGTGCCACATAAGTGGGTGTGCCACAAACTGTGTATAAAGGTTCTCGCACTGCTTGCGCGAGTCCAAAGTCACCTAGTTTCAAACATCTAACGTGACTACCATCCATTTCAACCAAGAGATTTTCCGGCTTAACATCGCGATGTACAATATGATGCGAATGCAAATAAGCCAAAGCGGAAGTCAGATGACCGATCATCACACTTGCCTCTGATTCAGAAAATTTCGTCGCAGCTGCGATTGCGTCGAATAAATCTCCTCCCTAAAAAACAATTAATTAACTTAAAAATTAAATTAAATTAAATGTAAATGTTTTATTAAGTTTCTTTCAATTTCGATGATGCACCTTGACGAGTTCCATGACTAAAAACAGCTGATCAGCAGTCTCTTGCTCGGCAATTAAACTGATTATGTTGGGATGGCAGACTTGCCTCAGGATCGCCACCTCGCTTGCTAGCATCGTCTCTTTCCCCTGACACTTGTATTTATCCACAATTTTCATAGCATATTCAGCACCAGTAGTTCTATAAATATATATCATGTTTTGCATATATATATATATATTTCTTAACTGAAGCAGAAAAGTTAAAAAAATATATCTGATTAACAATAAAGTAATAAAAAGATTTAAGATAATATATTTTAACTAAATTATATTTTATATCAATTATATAATTATGATATTCCTCTCTGTTCCGCCTTTATGTCACTAATCCTTATTAAATCATGTTTTACATTCTACACATTTAATTATTATTCATAAAATAATAATTACACGCATCTTTTTGAGTTTGAATAAAAAATTTGAAAATTTGTATAAAGTGTATTTATACTCACTTGTGAATACAATGCCTGACGACAGCAAAATTTCCATCTCCAATAACATGGCCCACAGTGTAGTGTAACCTCAGCGGTTGAGGCAGTATCAGAGACGACGGACTGGGAGTTCTGACTTGTGGGGTGGTGAGCATCTTCTTGCCGGACTTTCTGGGCATACGTGGCATCGGGCCGCTCTGTCGCTTAGAATTCCACGGACATCGTCGAAAACTCTGCACGCATTTGCTCTCCTCGAAGTCTAGCTCAAAGTCTTCTTGTATAGACTTTTCTGGTCCATACGCCACGAAGATGTCGTCGTTCTCGAAGAATTGCTCGAGCGAAGTCACTTGCTGACCCGACAACGTGTACACCTTCCTTACCGCTCCGGAGTCAAGTTTCACCGCTTCTGTGATCGCCTCCATCGCGTGTTCGAGACTCGGCGCATTACGCTTGTTCAGCAACAGTCTGATCACTTTGCGCGGCTTAGTACCGTGGCGGATCAGCGTCACGATGCGCGCTTTCACGCACAGCGGAATGGCGCTGATCTGCCTGCCGGTACCACCGGCGCTGCTGCTAGCCGCAGGTGATTGCGGTAGTCCGGACAAAGAGCTCCCCCGCCGGACCTTGGACGCCGAATACTCGACCTTCTTGAAGATCTCACCTTGACCGGATACCACATAGCATTTACCATCCTCCAAGTCACCGACGCTCTGCACCTTACGACCGTCCATGGTATAGATCGAACGAACACCGTTCGGTAGAGTTACACTCGACACCAAGGCACGTGTCAGGTCAGACGCGAGACTGTCAAAGCTGCGATATCTTTCTGGCGTCACTGCCATTACCACGCCCGTGTAATACTTATCTCCGTTGCGAAAGAATCGGACTCTCTTGGCCTTTTTGGTGGGTGGTGTTCTGAGAACGTTTAAAGTGTGTCGCGACGTGATATCCAATATTCTTTCGTCCAAGCTCGCTATGGTAGACGAATTCAGATCACCGCTACCACTTGCCGAGAAATTGCCACCGCTGGACGGCGAAGCGTCTTGATTCAGTGGTTCCTCCATCATTCTGTAATGCGCACAAATTATTCTTCTCTTTCACATGACAAACTATTATTTCATATCTTTAAATATCACATTAAATATCGAATAATAGAAACCTTAGTTTTCATTATAACTTCAGTGTAATAGAACCTGTCGTCTTGTAAAAATAAGTAATATTCAACATTTAATTATTAGTTTATATGACTTTTCAATTATACGTAAACTACATATAAAATATAATCCTTCATTATATTTTTCAATATATTGTTTCTCCTAATGTAATTTACGTTTATATATGTTTAATAGAATTACATTTACATAGAGTAGCCTATTTAAAAGTGTATAAATGTTTATCTTAATTTCAAACATTTATATCTTAAATTATTATTAATATATCTTTAATTTGATTTACACGTACATTCTCTTTCCCCCCTCTTTCTCTCTCTCCTCTCTCCCTCTCTCTAACACACATTAATTATAAACTAATGAAACTGTAAACTATATCGGATTCTTATCAGGTTCCATTACAAAATCATCTAAAAATTATCGCAAATTCTTACTGTTGATAAATTAGATAGATATTCTCTAGAATGGCATTCCAGTATTTTTTACACCTTCATTAGCAGCAAGATGAGTCATACTTTAGAAAGTGTACTTGACAGATGCAACGAAAGCGGAATTTGATTGAACGCTTGTCAAATCGTTCTCGACTGTCAAAAGCACACAGATGTTAATTCGCGACATGTTTAATATTCGACATTAATATCGCAAGGAGAGGACGACGACAGGCTCTCGCGACAATAGTGTGCATTTAACCTGCTCGTTGTTGAAAGTTAAAATCAGTGGATCCGAAACAATACGAGCTGCTCAATGTCGGCATGCGTCCACTCTCACTCACCTGCTCGCAAGTCGAGCGAAACGCGATCGATCGTCCCAGTAACACGAGACGAGAAGCTAATTTACACAAATGTTATAAACCGAGCGTGAATCACCATCGAGCTTGAACGAGCTGACATTTTCGTGGCAGTCAAGCTAGCGGCTGCTTCGACATAGACATACAAAATACATAGATGCGAGCTGCAGATTCACAAAATATTACTAGGGAGAATCACTAGAATGTATCTATTGGATATCACATTTGGCGCGAAAAAAATGCGAATTAGTCAACGTGGACATGCGCGATGCGCGTCATACGATTCGTGCGAATCGATTCGCTTCTATATTCGCTTCTATTCGCGTCGTTGCAGTCGTCGCATATCATATTTGTCATCTCGCGCGGGATTCCGAACGTTCGCCGGAATATATGTGTACGTAGCTTTTAATAATACTTTATAAAGAATTTTATAGGTTTGAGTAGGCACGTTAAACGTGCGCAATACGAGCGAACTTTTAAGGTATAGACATTTATTGTTACACAATTAACTGTCTCTCATGAACTGAGATCATGTTTCTTCACAAATTTTTTATTACGAAATATTATATGTACACATCTATTATATATTATAAAGATTTTGTTTGCCTTGAATTTGCGTAATAATTTATTATAGGAAATTCAAATCTATGGCAACACAATCATTACGAATACATATATATATATACTCATGCATACAAACTTTCCGAAGAATTATTATATACATATATAAGCAGCGTAACCGTACAAAATATTCAAACTGATAAAGTACAGATGTGAGTAGTTTTGTTCAAAAATAGGAAAAGGCTAAAGTAATTAATCTAATTGCGTGATAATTGCTTGTATCGTCCTCGTAGTGTAAAATATATATCCGACGAGAACAAATACCATTTATCGGTAAATTAATTTTTAAAAAACAATTATCTCGATAGAGGGCAGTGTAATGCCGTTCCATACATCACGTAAAATTTGGTTATATTAAAAGTTGCAGTATTATATGACGCCATTGTTACGGTAAAAGTTTGTCTCTTCTTTTTTGTAGATTTCACAGATTAATTTTGGTGAAAAAAGTTATTCCTTGTAACGTAAAATAATTAAAACTATTAACATCTTTTAATTCCGTTGCTCGTTCCTGCTCAAACAATCAAAATTTAAGCAATCTCGGTATGCTATACATATATTATAGTTTTTAACCTTTAAAGGTACAAAAATATAGTTTAGATTTTATAATATTTATTTATTTATTTGTTTACTATTTTTCTATTTGATCAAATGTTTTCCTTATCTATTATACTTTTTGTATTGCGAAATTTTTACATTTATAAAATATATATATTTCAGTTTTTAAATATATTTAAAATTATTTTTCGATGGTATTCAATTTAAATATCTCAAAATTATTTTTCTCTTTTAATCTCCAAACTTTTCAAAAGCTTCGATAAGATATTGATATATAAGATTACAATTTCGGCTGATTGTATATTTTGTTCGTATATATTATATATATACCTAACAATTTAAGAGGCGCAAGAGGAGCAGGTAACCGTGATTATACATACGAACTTACACAGTAATATATTTTCCAGTTGCGAACATGCGAGCAAAAGGAGAGGGAGAGCCAGGTAGAGCGAGCGAGATGGCAGCGTTCTCCGCCACTGTCGTGACGGTGGACGGCGGCGGCGATGCGGCTCGCAGACCTCGCAGTCTCGTTCGGCGGGCGTTCGTCGTCGGTCGAAGTTGGTGGTAGGCGCGAGGGTGTAAAGGTGAGAGTGGTGACCAGAAGAGAAAACCTGAAGCGGGAAACGACATTTTTTAGTGCAATACAAAGTGAGCGAGAAAATACAGAAGAATTTAGAATGCTGAATGCGTGAAAAGATAACAAGTACGACGAAAAGGAGTCGAGAGAGATCTGGAGCCGGAAAATGCGGTCGCGACACGTCGTAGCAGGTGAGTCAGGTTCCCCTCCGAGTCATCGCGGTCGCCATCGCTGTATAAGCGTCGCTGACAAAAGCCACAGACAACGCGGACTCTGAAAGCGTCTAGACGCCAGTTATATTTTCAAATATTTCCAATTATTTTCATTCATTTACACACACACACTCACATACACGCAAACCCACACTTATTATATATATTTTGATCCATATGACTAAAGTTTTTAGACTGTGGATCCCGATTCCTTCATTCTCAATCGAAAACGATAATTATAATTTGAATAGAAATCTATATATAATGATCTGGCACAGAGTTTTGATTCATATGATAAATTTTGAATGTATATAAATACGAAATTCGAGCAATCTTTGTGATTAATTTGATTCATATATTCATATATGTGGAAATATTTTTGTCCCATGATGAATCATGTTATAAAAAATTATAAATTTTTATCAACATTTTAACAATAAAACAAATTGCAAGTTAAAAATATCAGAATTGAAGATTATGTAACCATATAGTAATTCGAGCGAGGGACGATTGTGACAGGTGAAGGAACGAATTCACCCTACAACAAAACATGCACCTTACTTTTACCTGACATTGTTATGAAGGGAGCGCATTCTCCAAAAGAGTTTGGCATTCCGACCCTATATAGTCAATAAAGAAGCTCTTTTTGATAGAGCCGACACATAAATTCCAAAATGTCGTGGAAAAATCTAGGAAAATAATATTTTTTAAAGCCTTTATTTTTCACTAAGGGAAAGTCAAACAGAAATAAAATCTCTGCTTAAATTAGAATTCAACAAAAAAGATAATTGGAAGAAAAATTAGATAAAATTTAGAAACAATTAGGAGAGTTAAAAATTAAAAATTATTACAAATTTCTATATGTATGCTTCAAACTAAAAACTTTTGTAGATATTCTCGAATATTACAAATTATATCGACAGATTTTCTCAATTTTGTCATTATGCGAGTTTTTTTATTAGATTTAGATATTGCTTGGTTCTCCACACAATATGTTCCGCAACACGATAACGAGACGGAGCATGCTGAATCTATTGAAATCTCCCGCGAGTGAGTTCGATACCAGATGCTTTAACGAAGAAAACTTTTCCTTAGCGCGTTGAGATAGAATTTTATTACACATTGATTATACATTATTATTTTATACATTAACTTCTACTTAATTATACATATAATATTTAATTTTGTTAAATATATATCATTTTCAACGTGTATGGTATTTTCAAGACTTTCCCTTTTTATTTACATTTCCAATTATTTAAAATTTATTTAATTGTTTATAACATACAAGGCTATTCTCAATTAAAATTTTTCAAGTAGTAGGGAATAATATACACGATAAAATACGATAACGCACAGTTGGGCGTTTTCTTTTAATGCAATCATAAACAAATGATTGTAAAAATGAACAATTTTAATTGCATATGATACGATGTTATTAATCGATATTATTTGGTGCAATAAATTTTGCAACGGATTTACAAAAAAATGGAGCGTTTAAAGACGTTGAAAATAAAAATCAGAAAAGTGAATATCCATATATATATTACATTTCTATTCATTAACTTGTATTTTTTAAAAGCGATGGTAATGTTAAGCCATCATTTGTGTGTGTGTGTGTGTGTGTGTGTGTGTGTGTGTGTGTGTGTGTGTGTGTGTGTGTGTGTGTGTGTGTGTGTGTGTGTGTGTGTGTGTGTGTGTGTGTGTGTGTGTGTGTGCGCGTGCGTGCGCACATTTAGTGACAAAATTAGAGACAAATTTGAAAAATTAAATATCGCGAAATATATTACGAAATTTATTTGAAAAAATAAAAAAGTTGTTTGAAAAAATTTCAATTTTTTAAAATAAAGGTACAGGAATGTAAGGATAATAAATAATTGTGTACAATAGTATCATTCTTAAAATACTGTCTGTGTCTTTCTTAAGTTAAAATTTTTTCAAACAAATTTATTAATTTTCTTTTCAAATAAATTTGTTTGTATATTTCACGATATTTAACTCTTTTTAAAAAATAGTTAATGAATATAGAGATATAATATTTACTTTTGCCATTTTTGTTTTCAACGCCTTTAATGCTCCATTTTTTACAAATCCATCGCAGGATTGTTATTAATGATTGTTATTTGGCTTCGATTCTTATTATGATTATTGTTACACACACAAACACAAACTTTGACTATTTTATCACTGACATTTGGAATCAGTTCCAAAAACGGAAGAAACTGAGTAATTAAAATAATCAGCGATTATGACATTGAATTCTTGAAAGCACGACGCAGTCATGAAAAATCTTGTTTTTTTTTTAACTAATGAAAAAGCGAACATTTATTTTTGTATCACGGATTTATTCATGTCCGAGTTTTTCTCTCTTTTATATTTTTTTATATGAAATTTTATTTTATTTTTCTAAAATCTTTATTATATATATATACATATAATCGGTTTCACATTGAGAAAATTTTCTCTTACAAATTTATCCTGAAAATCATGGTAATGGATAATATGGTAGTGAAACAATATGGTATTGGAAAAATTTTATAAGAGTTTCTCTGATTAATATTTACAATAAAAAATATCTACCACAATAAGATATAAAATATCCTCGATTAATTTTACTATGTACATAGTTTTATATCTTATTGTAGTAAATAATAATATTTTTTATCGTGGTAAATATAAATCAGAAAAACTCATAAAATTCTTCCAATACTATATTGTTCCACGATTACCATGATTTTCAGAATAAATTTTAAGAGAAAATTTTCTCTGTGCATATAATTTAATTATACTATTTTATTTCTTTGCCCTTCACGTCATTTAATGATAAAAATTTTAAATTATATCTACAGTCTTTTTTGTATAAAAATATATATTAAGAATTTATGATATATATGTAAAATATATATATATATATATATATATATATCATAATTATTAATTTATATTTTTATACAAGTATGAATTCTTTTCAAAAATTTTTAAGAGTTTCTGTGGAACTTAATAGAATTGTATTCTATTTTCAAATTTTTGGAATGCATTTCTGAAAGAAAAAGATATTCAGATATTCACATTCTATGTTGTCGCTCGAAACATCCGGCGACTTTCCCATACTGCCAACAATACATGCAGCACGGGTTTTTTCTCAAGTCGGAATTTTTATTCAGAAAAAGAGAGAATACTTCTTTCTCTCTGTATAATAACTTTTGTAAATATATGCGATCGTCACATGTTACAACCGAGACGATTTTTCTCGTCTGAACACGTAGCTGTGAGCGAGCTTCCGCTCTTATGCGCATCTTTCCGGTCGCGCATTGACCGCGTGTGAACGTACACGAGAGAGAGACGGCGCTCTTTCGTAACGGTATAAACTTTTACCTCTCGGGGATCACCGGTGTAGATCAGTGACCGACCCGAGAGCCACTATGATGACCTATCGTCTTCGGACAATCGCGGGAGAACAAATATTTTGCTAAATATTATACATATAGAGCTCTCTCTAAATATTATACATATAGAGCTCTCTCTCTCTCTCTCTCTCTCTCTCTATACGAGAATTTACAAAAATAGTCATTAAATTTTCGAGTTTTTTATCCGCTACTGTACGCTACCAAATTTACTGTAATAACAATTATTATTTAAGAAGAAGGAATAGATGAGAGAGATAGATATGATATTAAATCATTAGCGAAGGGGGAAAAAAATACAATTTATAGTATACTTATATACAGGGTGTTATAAAAGTACCGGAACAGCAGAATAACTCGAAAAATATGAGTCTTAGAAAAAATGTTAAGTACTGGGTTGTTATCTGATTTTTTCCTGGCTATCTGAACGTTAGATAAAACCCAGTACTAAGCATTTTTTCTAGGACTCATATTTTTCGAGTTATTTTGCTGTTCCGGTACTTTTATAACATCCTGTATAACCGCAATAATTAAAAAAAAAAATTGAAAAAGTTGGTTATTAAATTTTAAAATGTCACGAATGTGTCGAGTTGTAAAGAAAGAGAAATGCGACTTTTTGGAAATTCTTTGTCCGTGATTCGTGACTGAATCTTCATATATTCGCTGGATTCTTGCCACAGGCATCGTTTCATTTTTCCAAGGTAAAGGCTCAGGAAAATATCTTTTGTTCGCTCTAAAGAAGATGAAAGGCACTTTAGACGAGTGGCTTATCGCCGTTCAGAAATTTCTGTGTGTCATAGAAATCGTTTATTCTTTTCGTATGGAAATACGAATACCAAAGTACGAGAATACCATTCGTGTTACAAGTCAATTCAATTTTTTAAAAACTCGAAATATTTGTTATAAAAACATGAGTTTAAAATAAATTTAGAATCCTAGATTTATTAAGAATCAATAGCAATAAATAATTGAAATTGATTTAATTGAAAATAATGACAATAGTTTATTTCAATAAAATTAAAACGTAAAAGCATCGTATAATAATGTTCATGTACAACTTAGCTCATACTCTTAGAATTTAGAAAATATACTGAAAATCACATACATTCAATTAATGACTAATTTTTAAGTATATATGAAATGCATCTAATTTTCTAAGAATATTGTGAATATGTTGTCTCTCAAAATATTATTAATACATCCTCTTGAAGAAACCGCGTTTAAAGAAGAATAATATATAACATGCGTATATAATAAAAGAAGAGATAAAGATGATGACGTATATATTTATTAAAATTATAATATAAAATTAATGATAAAAAACGTAGATTATGAAAATGTTGACGTAATGAGGAAACGTTTATTAATCGGAGAATTTTTAAACTAGAAGAAAAATATAATATTTTTATATATTTTTCAAACACTACTCTGTGTTTTGTATCTTTTTGTAGTATTTCAGAGTAGAGAAGAGGATTCGAGATATAGACATTTTCAGATTTTGTTGCGCGCTCGTATATATACGCAATATCAATAGCCGTACTAGAAGAGATCGATAGTTTCATAAACAGACGTCAT